AACCTAGAGACAACATAAAAATACTAAAGTTAAAAAACCTAAAGGCGACATGAAAACACTAAAGACAACATAAAAATACTAAAGATAAAAAACTACTTTGCTTTGCTGCGACTTCATGTATCAAACAGCTGGTTTTAAATGTAAAAAAGCAGGAAGGATTCACCAGGTCAGAATGATTTGGGAATAGTAGCCTATAGTAACCCTAATCCTAACCTGTAGGACCTGAAAGCGTTAGGGTTAGGGCCTGAAAGCTGCTGAATGGTTAGGGTTAGGAGCTGAAAGCTGCTGAATGGTTAGGGTTAGGAGCTGAAAGCTGCTGAATGGTTATGGTTAGGACCTGAAAGCTGCTGAATGGTTAGGACCTGATAGCTGCTGAATGGTTTGGACCTGAAAGCTGCTCAATGGTTAGGGTTAGGACCTTAAAGCTGAAAGCTGCTGAATAGTTAGGACTTGAAATCTGATTAATGGTTAGGCTTAGGGTTAGGAGCTGAAAGCTGCTGAATGGTTAGGGTTATGACCTGAAAGCTGCTGAATGGTTATGGCTAGGACCTAAAAGCTGCTGAATGGTTATGATAAGGACTCTGGCCCTCCAGTCGGGGCTTCCTCACCTGTAGATGTAGGCTTTCTTCATCACGGCCTCCATTCTGTCGTTGAACTCAAAGAAAACCATGTACTGAGAGAGAGAGGCAACAGTCAGCGGCCTGAGCTGAGATGCTGAAGCTGAGAGGGAAGCTGGAGCGTCCTCACCTTCAGCAGGCGAGGGAACCGGAGCAGGGAGTTCACCCCAGTGAAGAGGTAGAGCACCTCCATGGGAAACAGGCTGATGACGTCCATCTGAAACCACAAACAAAGAGACACCGAGGACGGTCGGCAGCTTTCTATCTGATTTCTTCTGGTTTTTCTGCTTGTTTTCTGATTCTTTGTTTGCTTTTGGTTTGTGGACAAAACTCCAAACAAATCATTCAAAACTATCTATTAAAGTTAGATTTCGGCCTTACAGTCTGTAACGCTCCTTAGCTGAGAATCACCCCAAGCCTGACCCTCTAAGAAACGTTTGAACATAATCTGCGAGACAGTTGGCTCCTCTAGGTTTCAACCAAAGGGTTAAAGGTCGGGCTTACCTTGAACCTCTCTGTAGTCATGTAGTGCTCCCTCATGTCCTTTTTTTCGCACTGAAAGAAAGGAGACATTCATGGTTAAGGACGTTGCCTCTTAGGTGCCGGGTTAGGGTTTTGTTAGGGTTAGTTAGGATTGCTGGTTCCTGGGTTAGGGTTCGGATTACTGGTTCCTGGGTTAGGGTTAGAATTGCTGGTTATTGGGTTAGGGTTAGCATTGCTGGTTATTGGGTTAGGGTTAGCATTGCTGGTTCCTGGTTTAGGGTTAGCATTGCTGGTTATTGGGTTAGGGTTAGTATTGCTGGTTCCTGGTTTCGGATTAGCATTTCTGGTTCCTGGGTTAGGGTTAGGATTGCTGATTCCTCTGTTAGGGTTAGCATTGCTGGTTCCTGGGTTAGGTTTAGGATTGCTGGTTCCTGGGTCAGGATTAGCATTGTTGGTTATTGGGTTAGGGTTAGCATTGCTGGTTCCTGGGTTAGGGTTAGCATTGCTGGTTCTTGCCGCCTGCTGACCACAATGTCACCCCCGCGGACGAACTGCAGCCTGGGCTGGAAGATCAGTATGTCGGCGATGTAGATGAAGTCACAGGTGTAGTCCATCATCAGCCACCAGTGGATGTTCTCGGAGGTCTGGTAGGGGAACGCCCAGCGGACGGGGATCAGCCACACATTCCAGTTCCACGCCGCCACCACAAAGAACAGCCAGATCACGTAGATTATGTCTGTGGACAGAAAGAAGCTCATCAGGCGTCTGGTGCCCTGCAGCCCGTCGATCCCCAGAAACACGGCACCTCCAGGCCTGAGGGGGTCGCTGAGGTTTTGTTTTTCTTTGGATCACTTCAACCATAATACCAAAGCTGTGTTGCTGTGGGAACACTGGAGGAAGAATGTTGTTAAAATGTGCGCTTTATGTTTCCATCAGAACCTGAACCTGATCTGTGTTAATGTGAGCTGATTGGGACAATTTTCTAATACTTTAGCTTCGAACAGATTCCTTTGAACTGATTGGAACAATTTTCTTTTGAATAATTTAGTTTGAACTGATTCCTTTTAACTGATTCCTTTTGAATGGATTCCTTTGAACTGATTCAAAGGAACAAAAGGAACTTTTGAATGGATTCCTTTGAACTGATTCCTTGGAACTGATTCATGATATGCTGCTGATCTCAGAAAGAAAACCAAACAGGAAACCGTGTGAAACGACTCTCCAGGGTTAATTTTAACATGAATGAACCACACAGTAATTTTTTCCTTCCTCTCATGGGACCTGAGTTAAAAGGTTTATAACAAACCA